AGTTCTTTATATATTCTGTTTATCAACCCTTTGACAGATGTGTAACATGCAATATTTTCTCCTATTCTGTGGGTTTTCTCTTTACTATGTTGAGTGTTTTCTTTGCTATGTAGAAGCTCTTTAGTTTGTCTAGTTTTGCTTTTGAGGTTGATGTAAAAAATCTTCGCCCATCCCAATGGCTTAAAGCATTTTTGCAAGTTTTCTTATAGTTTCAAAGTTTTAAGTCTAAACAATTATACTCTTAACTTGTCCTAGTACAAAGTACTAGGCATAACTTTGCCCTAGTACAAAGTAGAGTCCTATGGCTCCAGCTGCTCAGGCTTACATTCAACCAGCATCACTTGTGGCTATTTGTAGAGGCAGAGGCCACAGGCTGTGAGTCCAGTCAGTAGCAGATGGACCACAGCAATGTGGGCTGCACTGGTCTGGGGTCTTTAATCAATATATATAGATCTTTAATCAATTCTGAGTTGAATTTTGTAAATGGTGAGGGATGGAGTCTGTGTCTTTCCTTCACATGTGAATATGCATAGTGTTTTCCCCACACTATTTATTGACAGCAGTGTCCTGTTTCCAGTGTATGTTTTCAGCTCCTTTTGCAAAAAGCATTTGGTTATACATGTGTGGGTTTACTTTTAGGGTTTCTGTTCTATACCATTGTTCTGTATGTCTTGTTTTTATACCAATACCATGCTGTTCTCTAAATTAATTCATTTATTTGAGAGAGTGACAGAGAGTGAAATCTTCTATCTGTTGCTGGTTTGTTTCCCAAATGTCCACGACATCTGGGGTTAGGCCATATTGAAGCTTAGCCAGGAACTCTAGAGGATCTCCCTAATGTCTCCCATGTTGGTGGCAGGAACCCAAGTATTTAGGCCACCACCTGCTGCCTCCCAGGTGCATTAGTGGAAGTTGGATTTGAAGCAGAGGTAGGACTTGATCCCAGTACTCTGATATGAGATACAGGTGTCCCAAGTGGCAGCTTAACTTGCACCACGATACCCACCCTTGTAATATATTTTAAAGTTAAGTGAGTACAGGCATTTGGCCTAATGGATTAACATGCCACTTGGAATGTCCATGTCTCATATCAGTGCTTGAGCTTGAGTCCTGACCCTAGTTCTGATTCCACCTCCATGCTAGTTATCATCCTGAGAGGCAACAAAAGATGGCTCAAGGACTTGGGTCTCTGCCATCTGTGACATGGAAGACTAGATTGAGTGTATGTGTTGTTTCTTTGCTCTTGCAACTCTGAGGATCCTCCCTTTATTTTTAATCTTGGAGAACTTGATTATATGTCTTGGGATATACCTGGTTCAGTTGAATCTGACTTGTGACCTTTGACCTTCCTGTACCTGGATAATTGTATAGTCTTTAGATTTGTAATTTTTTGTTGTCTGTTTGAATATACTTTAAAAAAAAAAAAAAAAAAAAGATTGGGGCCGGCTCAGTGGCGCACTGGGTTAATCCTCCGCCTGCAGCGCCGGCATCCCATATGGGCGCCAGTTCTAGTCCTGGTTGCTCCTCTTCCAGTCCAGCTCTCTGCTATGGCCTGGGAAAGCAGTAGAGGATGGCCCAAGTGCTTGGGCCCCTGCACTTGCATGGGAGACCAGGAAGAAGCACCTGGCTTTGGATCGGCACAGTTCCAGCCGTTGTGGCCATTTAGGGAGTGAACCCACAGAAGGAAGACCTTTCTCTGTCTCTCTCACTGTTTTTAACTCTACCTGTCAAATAAATAAATAAAGCTTTTAAAAAAAGATTTTTTAAAAAAAGATTTATTTATTTATTTGAAAGGCAGAATTACAGAGAGGCAGAGAGAGTCTTCCATCCACCGAGAGAGAGAGAGGTCTTCCATCCACTGGTTCACTCCCCAAAGAGCCGAAATGGCCAGAGCTAGGCCAATCCGAAGCCAGGAGCCAGGAGCTTCTTCCAGGTCTCCCATGAGGGTTTAGGAGCTCAAGAACTTGGGCCATCATCTCCTGCTTTCACAGGCATAGAAGAGAGCTGGATTGGAAGTGGGAGCTGCCCATCCATATGGGATGCCAGTACTGCAGGTGGCGGCTTCACTTGCTACACCATCGCGCCAGCCCATCTTCGAATATACTTTCTACTACTTTGGAATTCTCGAGTTTCTCTTGAACACCTACTAGGTATTTGCTTTTTTCATATTATCCCAACATATCTGTAAGCTTCCTTCACTCCTGGAGCTCACAGTATCCCCAGACCAGTGCAGCCCACATTGCTGTAATCCATCTGCTACTGACTGGACTCACAGCCTGTGGCCCCTGCCTCTGCAAATAGCCACAAGTGATGCTGGTTGAATGTAAGCCTGAGCAGCTGGAGCCATAGGACTCTACTTTGTATTAGGGCAAGTCCAGAGGTTTCACCCATGTGTATTGTCCCAGAGATGGAGATAGGATCAACTCAGTGTTGGGTTTTTCCAGTTCAGCTGTGAGTCCCAAGACACAATCTTGCATTTCCTTACTGTTGCTCAAGTATGGGGGAAGTCTGATCAAGGCAGTCCATTGTCTACCCAGGCCAGTGCTAGGCTATGTCTTAGCTTGGTCTCATAATCATTAGGCCCTGAGCAATCTTGGGCGTGCATGCAAGGTCCCTGTGAGCCTAGTGGTGATACACACCAAGACAAGTATATTCCACCAGGACATAGGTCTCCTCCTGATCCCAGGCAACCCTGGAAGCTCTGTCAGTAGCCTGAGGCTTGAGGCCTTTGGGTTTATCAGGCACTGGCTTTCATAGCAGCAGTCTGGTTCTGAACTCCAAGGTAAGGTCTTAAGCCCTCTCTCAGGTTCTACTCCCACAGGCTCAAGTCTTGCTGTGCGTCTCTAGAGGGTTGGGGAAGGGGCAATGAAGGTAGTCCTTTAGATGCTTGGCTAAAGAGGGTCTAAAAACTCAGTCTGCAGGTACAAGCCTTGGGACAGTGGCTGTAGAGGGTAGGGAGCCCTGTCAGGCACTGCTTTTGTTTTTAAGACTATTTATTTGAAAGGCAGAGTTACAGAGAGAGGGAGAAACAGAGAAAGAAACAATGGGTTATTAGCCCCTGCTTTCCCAGGCACATTTGTAGGGAGCTGGATTGCAAGTGTAGTAGCTGGGACTGTTGGGGTCCAAAAAAAAGCCCACTGCCCAAGGAACGACTCCAAGAGACTTTTTCTCTCATGCAACCAGAAAAGGGTTAAATTTATTGATCCAACATGTTGGGGCCCTCTGACAAGGACAGAGGAGCAGTGAGGAACTACAGCATAGGGTTTATAAAGGCAAAAACCGCAAAATCGGGAGGAGGGAGAGAATACACGGTTGCTAAGCAGTTGCTAAAATCTTACAATCAGCAATTATGATCTTAAGACATAGACAAATCACATCTTCATTATTAGCCCAGGTAACCCAGGTGCCTTTAAGCTTGAGCAATCATGCTAGGGGGTTTTTGTGCGTTGCCAAGGGTGATGTAGTGCACTGCTATTGTCCGACTATTTGAGATCATAGTTTTAGACCAGAGTCTGGCAGGGCGGGGGGCGGGGGGTAGCTTTCCCAGAATGCAGTCTCAAGTGCTCCAAAATGGAGTCCCTACTGTCAAGGTGCTACTTTACTCTGTCTTATTTTCACACCTGCACCAGGAAGGCCCAAACCTGCAAGCTTAAGCTTAACTTTTTACACCCGCACATATACAATTTTAACTCTTCAGGACTTCAGCCAGCACTTGAACTGTCGCTTATATGGGATGCTGGCATCATAGGCATTAGCTTAACTCACTGTGCCACAGTGTCAGCCCCTAGACACTGGTTTTTATCATGACAAGACTGTTACTGGATTTGAAGTCTAAGGTCTGGACATAGACACTCTGTATCTGCCAAAGGGGAAGCAAGATGTCTTTTCCCATGCTGAGCTACTGAGAGCTGGGTGTGGGGGTTAAAAAGACAACTCTTTCCTTGATGCTTTCTTCAGTATTCAGTTTCCTGTTGTTATTCTGAAGCCACATGCTGTGGTCTCTCTCTTTTCCAAGCTCTTATGAAGGTAACCTGAACATCCCCTTATATGCATTGATTTCAATTTTTTCTGCACTAAATAAACTTACATTTTATTTGCATTTTTCATGAGCTTTTTTAAAAAGATTTATTTGTATTTATTTGAAAGGCAGAATCACAGAAAGAGAGGGAGAGACAGAGATCTTCTATCCACAGTTCACTTCCCAAAATTGCTGCAACAGCTAGGGCTGTGCCAAGTCAAAACCAGGAGCCTGTAGCTTCTTCCAGTTCTCTCACTTGGGTACAGGGGCTCAAGCACTTGGGCCAACCTCTACTGCCCTCCTGGGCTCATCAGCAGGGAGCTGGATGAGAAGTGGAGCAGCCAAATATCCAACCAGCACCTATATGGGATGCCAGCATCACAGGAGGCAGCTCAACCCACTTTGCCACAATGCCCACCCCTGTCATGAGCTTTTAAAAATAATTTGTAGGTTATAGGGGCAATTTTTGCAAAATAAAAATAAGAAGACAGACCACAGAAAATACAGGAAGTCCCTAAAATATAGACCTTTTAAAAAATACAATTTGCGTGTAATATGACTTGCAGTTCCACTACCCCCTGCACAACCCTTGGCCATAAACCAGTAGACAAATTAAAGTTCTTAGCTGACACAGGTGAAAGTGGGTTAGTAGAAAATGACCGCCTGATAATCATTTTGGATTTTGTTAGTTCTGTATACAATCAGGTGTGAAAGTAAAATTTTGCTTGCTTTCTTGCTTTTTAGGGCAAAACAGAATGAAAGATACTATCCTTTATTAATCATAGTGAATGTAACATTACATTTTTGTGAATAAATTTTATAGTCCCTATTTCTGATGGAGTTTTATTGTACTTTTACTTATGTGTTGAATATAACTAGGCCACAGAGGTTAGTATCATTTATTATTTTATATCATATTGTAGAGAAATACAAATCATTGACTAATTCAGTAGATAAGCATGTGGTTTTGTTTTGTTTTTAGGGAATGTGTAACTAGTGCTCTGTGTATCCCACTAGCAAGTCAAAAGAGGTAAGTAGCCGAAATAGGAATCACCTGCTTTCCCTGCTTTGCTTTATGAAGTATTAAGATCACAAATTTTGTTTGTATCAGGAGTTCCACTGGACGTCCTGACTGGACCTGCATCGTGGTGGGTTTTACTTCAGGTTACGTACGTTTCTATACCGAGGTGAGTTGAGTTTTTAGCAAATAGTGACTAGTTGCTTGTGATAATTATGCATCTCCATTAAACTGGTGGTGACATCATACTTGCTGCTTGGAAATGTGTTAATGTTTTATGGGGGTGGAGGCTGGAACAGGCAGTGAAATGTTCTAGTAGAAGATCAAGAGAAGAGTATCTGGTGTTTTGTTTTCCTGGAGAGAAAGTACCTGGTATCCATGGAAAACTGTTGGGGAAATAGTAATCTCTGCCTGGCCAGACCTGTTGGTTCAGCTTTATTAGGAAGGAAACAAGCAAGGCCTTTCTCTCTGCTTCCTCCTAGAATGGTGTACTCTTGCTTGCACAGCTTTTGAATGAGGACCCAGTGCTTCAGCTTAAATGCAGGACCTATGAAATCCCCCGACATCCTGGTGTGACTGAGCAGGTATCATAAAAAGTTAACAGTGGCAGTACTCTGAAGCATTTCTCTCCTTTATTGGGTCGAAACTTAAAGATATCTGTCTTGTGATGCAGGTAGCCAGGCTGTCATATTCTAGAAATGTAATCTATTTTAATATAGAATTTTTGCTTTTACTTATCTTGTGAAATATTATATGTTTAATTCTACAATAAAATAAGACTCTTTAAAAAAAATTTTTTTTTTTTTTGAGAGACAGAGTTCTCGTCTGCTGATTTACTTCCCAGATGCCCACAACAGCTGGGACTGAGACAGGCAAAATCAGAAGCTAAGAACTCAATCTAGGTCTCCCACGTGGATGGCAGGGGCCCAACTACTTGAGCCATTGCTTGCTGCCCGCCAGGGTCTATATTAGCAGGAAGCTGCAATTCAATACCGGCACCAGAGCCAGGTATTGAATCCAGGTTCATCAGTATGGGACACAAACCTCTTAACTACTAGACCAAATATCCACCTCAATAAAATACTTCAGTTACAAGTCAATACAAAGTTTATTTATTTATATATTTTTTAAATATTTATTTATTTATTTGAAAGAGTTACGCAGAGAGAGAGAGAGGTCTTCCATCCAATGGTTCACTCCCCAGTTGGCCACAACATCTGGAGCTGCGCCAATCTGAAGCCAGGAGCCAGGAGCTTCTTCCCAGCTTCCCACGTGGGTTCAGGGGTTCATGGACATGAGCTATCTTCCACTGCTTTCCCAGGCCATAGCAGAAAGCTGGATCAGAAGAGGAGCAGCCGGGACTTGAACCAGCGCCCATATTGGATGCCGGCCCTACAGGTGGCAGCTTTACCCACTACGCCATAGTGCCGGTCCCAATAAAAAGTTTCTTATTTTGAAAATTTGCTAGTGATGTAGGCAAAAATGTGATATTATATAACAGCATTTTTTTTATTTGGAGTTACCAGAATTACCACAGTAGAATGAATAAGTTCTGGTATTATTATTAATAGTACTACTACTTTTTAATCATTTCCCAGAAGATAGGCTAAGTTTTTGTTTATAGTAGAAAATATTTTATATTCTTTGAAGATTTTGACTGAGAAAATAATACTGGTTAATATCTATGATTTTCCCTCCCAGGTGATACATAAGATTTTGATATTTCACAGTCAGAATATAATTGTAGAGTCAGTAAAACAAAGCAATATGCTTTTATTTGTTTTGCAATGAACATAGAGCCATACAATATGCCTTCCTTTTCTTTTTACTTCCTCCAAATGGTTTCAGGTAAGCATGTATATATTGTATGCATAAGTAAATTTCAGTTGCATGATAGATGGCCAGGAGCTACAGAAAAAATTATCTAGTAAGAGAGACTAGACTAATATATATTAATGTGTATGAGTTAATCAGTAACGTAAAGCAGTGCCTACTTAATTGCTAATATATATGCACACTAATTTGGTACAAGTGTAAAGAAGGGGGAGCTCAGTTAGAACTAGGAGAATAAGAGAAAGTAATTGATGATGTGAGATTTGAACTAAGCCTTGAACAACAAGTGTAGAATTTAATTAAATAATGGGAAGGGGGGGGCTGTTTTAGGTGATCCTGGGAAAAATGCAGGGAGATTTAAATGTATAACTTTTTGTACTAAAAAGGAAACCTATGTAGAAACTAGTAATAAGAAAGTGATGAGTAAGGGGGTGGCGCTGTGGTGCAGTGGGTTAACGCCCTGACCTGAAGTGCTGGCATCCCATATGGATGCTGGTTCGAGACCTGGCTGCTCCACTTTCGATCCAGCTGTCTGCTATGGCCTGGGAAAGCATTAGAAGATGGCCCAAGTCCTTGGGCCCCTGCATCTGCGTGGGAGACCTGTAAGAAGCTCCTGGCTCCTGGCTTCAGATTGACGCAGTTCCGGCCGTTGTGGCCAATTGGGGAGTGAACCAGCAGATGGAAGACCTCTCTCTCTCTCTCTCTCTCTCTCTCTCTCTCTCTCTGCCTCTCCTTCTCTCTCTGTGTGGCTCTGACTTTCAAATAATAAATAAATCTTTAAAGAAAAAAAAGAAAGTGATCAGTAATCAGAATGGCCAAATTCTGAATAAATTTGAAAGCCAAGTGAAAATCATAATTGATTCAGACAATGAAAGAAGCTGCCGGGGTGCCAGATTCTGTCCCGGTTGCCCCTCTTCCAGGCCAGCTCTCTGCTGTGGCCCGGGAGTGCAGTGGAGGATGGCCCAAGTGCTTGGGCCCTGCACCCCATGGGCGACCAGGATAAGTACCTGGCTCCTGCCATCGGATCAGCGTGGTGTGTCAGCTGCAGTGCGCCGGCCGCGGCGGCCATTGGAGGGTGAACCAATGGCAAAGGAAGACCTTTCTCTCTGTCTCTCTCCCTCACTGTCCACTCTGCCTGTCAAAAAAAAAATAAAAATAAAAATAAAAAAAAGAAAGAAGCTGCTAAAGATTTAGGAGAGGAAAAGAGTGTAATCACAGGTATACTGAAGGATTCTCTGCTGGGTGAATTTGGGTTGAGGGAGGCTGGAATCAGGGAGGCTGGTTATCTGATTTTGTAGGTTATCTAGTATATATGTGGAGTGCTGGAAGCCAGGACTAGAATCGTTGTCAGGAGAGAAAGGATCAGTACAAAAATTATTCTGAAGGCATAATTGACAAGGCTGTTATTATCTAGATATGTAGAAATTAAAATGAAAAATGAGTTACAGATGTATATGTCTCTAATTCATCCTGGGAGGGAATTGCTTCGGCAGTGAATAAAAGTGATTAAATTTGGCTTTGGATATGTTGAATTTTAGTTCATGGTTAGAAAATGAAGATACTAATATTTAATGATACAGAACCAATTAATATAGGCATAGAGTAGGTTGGGAGATGATAGTTGAAGACATACCTAATGAATGAAATCTTCCAAGTGAAGAGTATAAGAAAATTTAACTGCAGGATAAAGATTTAAGTCTTAGTAAAATTTGTCTTAAGGTAATATCAAGTGAAATGAAGAAAAAAAAAGAAGCATATGGAAATTTAAGAAGATAATCTGTGACTTGAACATAATACCTCTTTTTTTAATATCTGTTTATCTGAGAGGCAGAGTTACAGAGAGAGGGAGACACAGAGAGAGAGAGGGCCTCTATCTGCTGGTTCACTCCCCAAATGACCACAACACCAGAGCTGGGCTGACCCCAAGCCAGAAGCCAGGAGTTTCTTCTGGGTCTCCCATGTGGGTGCAAGGACCCAAGCACTTCGGCCATCTTCCACTGTTTTCCCAGGTCATTAGCAGGGAGCTGGGTAAGAAGTGGAGCAGCTGGGACTCTTAACTGGTACCCATATTGGATACCAGCACTGCAGGCGGAGACTTAACGTCCTACGCCACAGCGCCAGCCCCCATAATACTTCTTAAAAGCTGTTTTCCATTTTCTACAAATTTACTAGGTGATGATGTTTCCTTAAACACTTTAAACTTGGCTATATCTGTAGTACACTTTTCAGAACTGGTGAAAAGATACAACATTTAAATGCTTACATGCTATTTGCTATGCAAGCCAAGAAAATCATCTTTTAACTAAACAACCATTCTTTTTGTTGTTGTTGTTGTTGTGTTTTTATTTCTATTTTTTAGTTTTTTTAAACTTTTATTTAGTAAATATAAATTTCCAAAGTACAGTTTATGGATTACAATGGCTTCCCCCCCATAACTTCCCTCCTACTCGCACCCCTCCCATCTCCCACTCCCTCTCCCATTCCATTCACATCAAGATTCATTTTCAGTTATCTTTATATACAGAAGATTGATTCAGTATAGATTAAGTAAATATTTCATCAGTTTGCACCCACACAGAAACACAGAGTGTAAAATACTGTTTCAGTACTAGTTATAGCATTACTTCACATTGGACAACACATTAAGGACAAATCCCACATGATAAGTAAGTACACAGTGACTCTGTTGTTGACTTAACAATTTGACACTCTTGTTTATGGCATCAGTAATCTCCCTAGGCTTTTTTTTTTTTTTAATCTTTTATTTAATGAATATAAATTTCCAAAGTACGACTCATGGGTTACAATGGCTTCCCCCCCCATACCGTCCCTCCCACCCACAACCCTCCCCTTTCCCACTCCCTCTCCCCTTCCATTCACATCAAGATTCATTTTCGATTATCTTAATATACAGAAGATCAGCTTAGTATACCTTAAGTAAGGATTTCAACAGTTTGCTCCCACACAGGAACATAAAGTGAAAAATAATAGATGATTTTTTTAAATGATGATGAAATCAGATCAGACCTATTGTCATGTTTAATCCCAGTGAGAGTCAAGTTGGGAATTGATAATTTCTTTTTTTTTTTTTTTTTTTTTACAGAAGATCAGTTTAGTGTACATTAAGTAAAGATTTCAATTGTTTGCACCCCCATAGAAACACAAAGTGAAATATACTGTTTGAGTACTCGTTATAGCATTAAGCCTCAATGTACAGCACATTAAGGATAGAGATCCTACATGAGGAGTAAGTGCACAGTGACTCCTGTTGTTGACTTTACAAATTGACACTCCTGTTTATGGCATCAGTAATCTCCCTCTGCACCAGTCATGAGTTTCCAAGGCTATGGAAGCCCCTTGAGTTCTCCGACTCTTATCTTGTTTAGACACGGTCATAGTCAAAGTGGAGGTTCTCTCCTCCCTTCAGAGAAAGGCACCTCCCTCTTTGAAGACCTGTTCTTTCCACTGGGATCTCACTCACAGAGATCTTTTTGCCAGAGTGTCTTGGCTTTCCATGCCTGAAATACTCTCATGGGCTTTTCAGCCAGATCCGAGTGCCTCTAGGGCTGATTCTGAGGCCAGAGTGCTGTTTAGGACATCCGCCATTCTATGAGTCTGCTGAGTATCTCACTTCCCATGTTGGATCACTCTCCCCTTTATTTATTCTATCGGTTAGTGTTAGCAGATACTAGACTTGTTTATGTGCTCCCTTTGACTCTTAGTCCTTTCATTATGGTCAATTGTGAACTGA